TTTTCTCTTTAAATTATTTTAAACATATTACGAATCTGGTGATTCTTTACAAAAATTAATATTTATTTTTTTTATTTACAATACCATTTTTTCATATTACACAAGTAATATTTTTTGCTATTTTTGTATATTATTTACAATTAATAAAAAAAAAACATTTAAAAAATTGCTTTTCCTATCTAACATTGAATTTTTTGTTTTAAAAAAAAATGCATCAACAAGTTAAATGCTAGTCTACCCATAAAACAACAATCCAATCTAACTTATATTAAAAAGAAATACCAAAACAATATATTATTTTGAATAATTTAAATAACACAAGGTTTTATTCATATTTAAAAAAATAAAATGAAATTTTTCATCTCATATATTTTATATGCATATTTGATTTTTTGATTTATTAATATTTTGGTAATATAACCTTTGTTAATTTAATTTGTTTTGGTTTTTTTTTTTCAATACATTAATAATAAGATAATAAATTTTTTGAGTGGTATAAAAAATGTTATTAGAATAGAATTATTTGAAAGAATCTTGTTTGAATATGCTACTATATTTTGAAAATATATTTATAATTTTAAATTAATATTATAAGTAATAGTTATAATAGTAAAAACATGTAAATATAAAAATGAGAATAATAAATTATTACAAATCTTTTCTATATAATTAAAAAATAGAAATAGAAATACAAGTGGTGAATTGGATTTAAATAAAATTTGGAAATATAAAAAACAAAAAAAAATTTTTTTGTTTAAAATAGCATTAGCATATATTTGAATTCCAATATTAGGAGTTGAGGTTTTCAACTTATGTAAATATTCTCAGTAATAGAGGTTGCCAATTACCGGAAGAGTCAACTTTAATTTTAAATTTTTTATATTTTAATGAAAATTAATAAATTAAATTACACTGTATATATATTTTATATTTTTTTTACTTTTTTATTTTCGGGTATACTTAATAGATTCGAAATGTATATATCGGTATACATAATAAACTACTGCGGCCTCCTTGATTTAAAAATATATTGTCATCATCAACGGCCAATGCTAGAAAACAAAGCATCACATTATCCAAATATGGTTAATAATGGAAAAGAATGTTTCATGGATGCTATATTTGGACACAATACAGTAGAAATGTAGAAATCATAACTAGTAATTACTGATGAATTGATAGATTTCTCGTATGTGAACGCATAAATAGTAATAGGATTTATCATGCTAGCAGACATAAACCTAAATGGGCATGACATTTTGTAATATAGGAATCTTCAAATTGAGCAAATAAAATTTGATCCAAAGAATTGATGTCCCAAAGTCCTTTCCATGATTTTATTTTGAAGTAACTATTGCAGTAAGCTAACCCCCGGGTATTCATTTGGGAATTCGCGATGTTAACCAATGAATACTGAATACTGTACAGTATATGCACAGAAAATGTTTAGAAAATGTTTGAAAAATGCATCATTCGCTAAAGAATGTTTTTTTGAACAAAAAAAGAAGAAATAATAAAAATCACTCGTGAATAAACTCTATGTAAAAGTCCTTTGCTTTATACAGTCACCCCCCCCCCAAGTGTGCCACAATCATGTCTTAGATATAGCCCTTTAAAACTTCGGTATCTAATTTTGTATCAATCCTGCCAGTATATAGATAACACAAGATTTTCTTAAAGGTCTTGTAATCGACGTCGAAAATGTAATATACATTGGCTTCTTGATTTTGCGAATGTGGATGTTTGGTACCCTCAACGGTTATCTTGAGGTCAATAGGAAAAAACGGTTATTTAATATTTCTCATAACAATTTTTCTTAAGGTGTATATAAAAAAATAAGAAACACTTACTCTTTCAAGTTCATTATGCTCTGGTTGTTTGCCAATAAGAATCCAATTATTTTCCCTTAACTCAACGATATCCTAGATGAAAATTGAACCATAAACATTTTGTTGTAATCATTGTTACCTTTATCAGATGATTGTTCGGTGGAAAAATAATTACCATCAGTTTAGAGCGTAAGTTTCTATTCAATTGAGTATGCTGTGCAAAGAAAAGTATCCTCTCAAAATACGTGTCCATGTGAGCTTTAGCTTTTTCATGGTCCATAAATTTGCCAGCAGTTTTCAATATTTCGCACAACAATTCCATCTGGTCAGGATGTGGATGTTGAGTCTTGTTCAAACAATGCTTGATGCACCTATGCATCATTGGCTCGGTGACCACATTACGCTTGAACAGTTCAGTAAAGAACCTTGCCAAACCAAGCCAACGTCTTTTCTCCCTGAGTCCTAGAAAGTAATCATTTGTTGTCGCGTCCATAAGTTCCCCATTTTCGTCTCGCTTCACGTAAAAATCCACGT